TGGAGTGAGAGGACAAGTGCCCAAAAAATAACAATTGTAAACCGCTTTGAGACTCTGGTCTGTGAAAGGCGGTATTTAAATAAAGCTTACTGACTTACTTACTTACTCACTTACTTACATGATGGCTTCGGACTGCTCTTCGTCTGACCTGTCACCCGAGACCTGTCTGCCATGGGAGACCCTACCAGGGGCATGAAGCCCCAGACAGCATAGCTCCCAGGATCACCCGAGTACTCAAACTCCCCCACCACGTTAAGGTGGCAGTCCAGGGGGAAGAGTCTGCTCCTCTGTGAGTCCACCTTCCCCTGCCCGCATGGTGATGTAGCATCACGCTCCAACCGGTACTTCATTTCAGACATGAGAATAAACTTTTTCCAACAATGACAATCCGTCACACACAGCCCTATGTCCTCCATGCACAATTAGACCCTAATTATTTAGTTTACAGAAGTATACGGCGAGTTAGCGTCACTACTCACAGATTGGGGGGTCAGTGTTACGTCTTTTATCGTGGGAACAACACTGGTTTCCAGATCAGTTTTTGAGTAAGTCCAGTTCCATTGTCCCTTTAGTTCTGGAACAGTCTCAGTGAAGTGTCGCAGATGAACCATAGTTATAATAGATCCATGAGATGAACAGATGAAAAAAGTAGAGCCGCTTTCTTCCTCTTCGGGCCAAATAGAGCGTCCCATATTTACACCCAAAACACATTTTATCCAAGTTGACGTGATCCTAACACTTAATTAATTAGTTGCTGACAAAAGCAGAAAAAACAGCAGCTCCATGTAGTGTCCGCGGGACCAAACCACAGATACGCCGGACTCAGGAACTAGCTGTGCGCTCTGATTCGCAGTTTCGATCTGTCAATCACCTCCCGCCGGCTTTTACTATTATTTTTATTTTTATTATTTTTGACAACAAACTGCATACTTATTGTGTATTGTTTACCCTGTTTTGACAAAAGTATTTAAACACCATTTTAAACACAAAGCAGATGGGCTTGTGCGCGTCATATTCGTCATCAGAGTGGTAATTGTCATGGAAGTGGACCCGAGCGTTTCACCTCGAGGGAGAAGGAGAAGGATCGCTCTCCAACTAAAGCTTGACAGAATCAATGAAAAAACTACACTGGGCATGTGTATGAAGGCCAAAAAGCACTGTAATCATGTTTAAAGCAAAGAAAAGTCAAAAAGCGTAATATGGGCCCTTTGAAGTGGAGCTGGATTGGTGTACCTAATAAAGTGGCCGGTGAGTGTACAGTGCCTTTTAAAAGTATTTATGCAGCTTGATCTCTTGCACATTTTGTTATGTTGTAGACGTTATTATATATTTCTATATTTTACTGAAAGACCATAACGAAGTAACTGTGAAGTGAAAGGAAAATAATACATGATTTTGTTCAACAACAAAAAAAAACGTAAATGCCATGCTTTTCATCAATTAATATCCTGTATTTTACTCCATCCTCCTTCCCATCAACAGCCCCATAACATGATTCTGCTTCCCCCCACGGGATGGTGCGCTGAGGGAGATGAGCAGTGTTTGTTTTGAGTCCTTGGAGTGACCTCTCCAGTGCACTTCAGGCCTTATTAATGCTGTTTAGTGACACAGACTATAGCTCTGTGACCCTCACAGAACATCTGTATGAATACTTGTGCACCACACTTCACTTTTCTATTTTTAAAACATAAAAAAAAAATATAATGCTTTCACTTCACAGTTGTCTATTAGCTGTATGTGAAACTTTGAGGTAAAATCTTAATGGTTCTAAACATTGCAAAATGTATAAAAGTTCAAGCTGTCATCTGTTAGAGCTACACAAAAGCCTGGAAACTGAATTATTCCTGCTAATTTTACATGAGTCGAAGTTGAAACCCGAACTCCCTGAGTGGCCCCTTGGAGCACTGTGAGAAGGTAATGGAATTAATAACATTCCATTTGAATAATATTACATTCTGAGAAACAAATATTTAAGTTCAGCGTGATTTAGGAATGTAATTTGTGCAAAAAATGTGGGCATACTATTAATAAATTAAATATATATATATACACACACACACACCTTTCGCCCTCCGCGGGCGGTTATCCCTCTCTAAGCTCGGGTCCTCTACCAGAGGCCAGGGAGCTTGAGGTTTCTGCGCAGTATCTTTGCTGTTCCTAGCACTGCACATTTCTTGTCCAAGATTTCCGAGGTTGTTCCAGGAAGCCGCTGTAACCACACTTCTAGCTTCGGGGTCACTCCCCCGAGTGCACCGATCACCACGGGCACTACTGTGACCTTTACCCTCCAGGCCCTCTCCAGCTCCTCTCTGAGCCCTTGGTATTTCTCAAGCTTTGTGTTCTTTTTTCCTGATGTTACTATCAGGAAAAATATATTCATATATATATTTAATTTCTCATTTCCACTACGCTCTCCCCCCATCGAGAAGTTTAGTCGTCTGTACAAGCTAAATATATTTCTACTCAACGAGTGTTCACGCAGAGGACTTGGCTTTATTGCGAACTTTAATCTGTTCTGGAATAGGCACGAGCTTTTTGAAGGAAAAGGCCCACATTTGAACAAATACAGAGTCAAAGTGTTTATGGATAACTTTGCATCTGCCTTAAGACAGCCTGCGCAGCACGTGCAGCCATCAAGAGGGAGGAAGAAGCAAAAGGCTTCTTCTGCACAGACATCACGACCATCTCCACCGACTCCAGAGGTCTCTGCACCTCCACCCGCTTGAAAGAACTCAACACCTCCACCAGCATCATCATCAGCAGCGTGAGGAGAGGGTCCCCACTGAAATCTATGCTCGTCCAAACGAGACTACCAGCGGCCCCGCACCGCTGTTGTTCGGGAGACTGAGACTGTTCCGGCTCCTGCTACACCAGCACCAGACCCTGGTTCCACCCACACCAAAGACTGACGTCCGCTGTCATTACTGTAATGGCTGGGGACACATTCACAATTTGTGAATCTACTGTAGAGACTTTGATTGGGGTGGGACCTGGTGACATTCCGGTGCTGGGTGAAACCAAAGTTCCAGTCAACATTAATAACAGTCAAATTTAAGTTGACTTCCTGGTAGCAGGGAATGGCGTACAGCTTGTGTGACGTAAGGGTGTTGAGAAAGGAAGTTTGTTAACCCTAATTCCAACAACGCCAGGTGGTCTAGGGACCAACCAAATACATTACAATACAATTTATTCTTGTGTACCCCTAACTCACAACAGTAGTCATCTCAGAGGACTTAACAAAACCAATGAAATCACCAACACAGATCAGAGAATCAACAGTTAAGACACGGAAAATACGCATATGTATTGGTCCTTATGGAGAGACCAATGTCCATGAATGTTGATAAATGTCCATACATGTTGTAGAATGTTAAAGTGACCTGGATCATCACCACAGTCCTTCTTGTTAGACACTGTCCAACAGACCATCCAGCATCGGCAAGAAAACAGTCTAAAACCCTGTTGGAGAAAAGTGAGAAACCTTGAAGATCCACATTGAGAGGGGGATCTGCTCCACATGGACAGACGGGCTATAGATCCAGGACCTAAGCTACAGATAGAGGACGAGGGCCACGCAGCGGCCGCAGAATGTAGACGGGTCCGGTGCAGAGCTAAATTCACTGCCGCCAACAGTGATTCTTGAGGCCTTAGGAACCACCAGACGTTTGGCGTTTTGAGAGCGCAGTGCTCGGTTTGGTTGATATGACACTAACATGTCTTGAAGATAATTCATGTCTTTATATGTTAAAAGAAGGATTTTAAACTTTATTCTGTACTCCACGGGAAGCCAATTAAGTGATTTTAAGACCGGAGTTATGTGTTCCCTCCTTTTGGTTTTAGGGCACGCAGCCAGAAAAGCGTTACAGTAGTCAAGCCTTGAGGAGACAAGAGCGTGAATCAGTTTTTCCACTAGACTTTTAGGAAGGATATTCCTGATTTTAGTGATGTTCTGCAAGTGGAAATACGCTGTTTTAGTTCCTTGGCATATGTAAGCCTTGAAGGAGAGTTCTTCGTCGAAGACGCTTTGGACCGAAGAGGATCACTTCTGCCTTCTCCGGGTTAAGAAGTAGAAAGTCGAGAGTCATCCACGTTTTTAGATCATTTATGCTGACACTAAGCCTTTTCAACGGATCTGTCTGATTTGGTTTCATCGACTGGTAAAGCAGTGTGTCATCTGCATAGCAGTGGAAGTTAATTCCATGCTTTTTAATTATGTTTCCTAACGCCAGCATGTAGAGAGTGAAACGAATCGGTCCGAGTACCAAACCCTGTGGCGCACCGAATTCCACTCCAGAATAAGGCGACGAGTTATGATTCACATTGACAAAGTGATACCGATCCAATTAAGAGGATTTAAACCAGCAATAGACCACAGTAGATTACTGTGGTCTATTGTGTTAAATGCAGCGCTGAGGTCCAGTTGGACCAACACTGACACTTGTCCATTATCAGCAGCTAGTTGTAAGTAATTTGACTTTTACTAGTGCCGTTTAAGTGCTATGATGAGCTCTGAATCCTGATTGAAAGTTTTCAAAGATATTTTCCTGCAGGTGGCAGCAAAGCTCTTCAGCAATAAGCTTTTCCAGACAAAGATATTAAAACTGGAATCCCCCGGGAACGAGACACTAGAAGAGCTAGAGTCATATATCGACACAGTGTACAAGATGACAGGGAAACCAGATCAGAAACGCGGAAGGAGTGAGCTCGGCTCCAGCGACGCCGACACAGACACATCACTTTCCTTGGAAATAAGACAAATAAGACAATCTATGGAATCTATGCATCTACAACTCAAAAAACTAGATCTCCTACAAAAACTAAAAGATGATGTCGATGAACTTAAAAAATCCCTGGACTACCACGTTGCATTAGTCGATGTGCTCCAACAAGAAAATGCTTCACTGCGCGGTGAAGTGATCAATCTCAAGAGTTTGACAGCAAATTTACAACATGAATCAAGATCCATTCAAAACAACATCCTCGATCTACAATGCAGAAGCATGCGAGACAATATTATTATACATGGTTTACCCGAAGAACCAAAAGAAACTTACCAAACGACAGAAAACATTGTGAAATCCTTCCTCAAATCCAACCTCAAGCTGGAGGATAGCGCGATTCGACCTATCCAGTTTGCAAGAGCACACCGCCTAGGACCCCAGCGCGAGGGGGCATCCCGAAGTCGTCCCATCGTGGCCAAACTCCTGGACCCCAGGCATAAATCCATGATCATGGGGAATGCCAAACAGCTCAAAGGGTCGAAGCTTGCCCTAAGCGACCAGTTTCCCCCGGAGGTCATGCGGAGGCGCAAGCTGCTCCAGCCGGCTTTCTTTGAGGCAAGATCCGCGGGAAAGAAGGTCAGGCTATCGATGGATAAACTCTACATCGAAGGTACACTTTATCGTAACTCTCAAATAACTTATTGGCTCACCGGTGGCAACAGCGCGCACGCTGCACCAACGCTCCAGAGCTGACCATTGTAAACACTGTCCCACAAAGACGACGTCATCAGAACGACTCCAGTAGTTGTATTTTTGTAATGATCGAATTATTCCTTTGTTACGCGATTATTCACTTTCCTGTCTTCCCTCCACAATATGACTCCTTAGCCATATCGGTTTTTAAGTATTGTTGTTGTTATTATTATTATTATTATTACCTCTAACCCTAACCCTATTATTAATAATGTTATGAATAATAATGATATCAATGCTATTATTATTTAGTATTCTCCCCACTGTTATTATCTCTTAATATTTTCTCTTTTGCGGCCACGGGGGGAGGGTAAGCCTCCCAACTGCCTTCAAGTGTGATTTTGGACGCAAATCCCGAGCTACCGAATACGAATTGTTATTTGATTTTGTATTTGTAAAATCTCCCTATTTTGGTCCCCAGTTTATTACCCTGGTTATTTACTTTCTTTATTGTTACTATTGTTATTATTATTATTATTACTTTTTATCCCCCCCCCCCCACTTCTCTCTCCCTCTCACTACAAACGCTCGCAATGACTCACACATCCTCTCTCTCTCTGCCCCCCACCACACCCAAACATGAGGCTCCCCATCAAAGTCAACACACTTACAAACACACACACTCACACATACGCCCACACAAACCCCACATACCAACCACATAATTATAACAGAATGTAGAATGGGAACTGTCAAATTAGTGTCATGGAACATTAGAGGTTTAGGTAATCAGAGGAAAAAAACAAATATTTTAGACCATTTATCCAAGCTCAAAGCGGACATTTGCCTATTACAAGAAACACATGCTACAAACTCAACGTTCAACAATATAAAATCCCCACAGTATAACCAATTATTCTCAGCTCATCTCAATAGCAAACAGAGAGGGGTCTGTATACTAATCCATAAAAAAATATCATTTACCCATCACGGTACCATAGCAGATCCAGAGGGGCGCTACATAATAATAAACATCTCCATCAACAATACACACCTCACAATCGGTAACGTATACGGTCCAAACACAGATGACCCAATATTTTTTCAAACCCTTTTCACACAAATCCAACACTTCTCAAACTGCCCAATCATACTAGCTGGTGATTTCAACACAGTTCTCGATCCCTCCATGGACAAATCAAACAATACAGTCAAAAGGCCCTGGCAATCTACAGAAACCATCAAACAATTCATGAAAGATTTCGGCCTTGGCGATAGCTGGCGACTAAAAAACCCCACAAAAAAACAATACACTTTCTTCTCACCAGTCCATCACTCATATTCACGCATTGACTTCATCCTAAACAGTAACTCAATTATGGCAGAAATCTCAGAACAACATATCCACCCAATAACCATTAGTGACCATGCCCCACTAGCAATTTCCTGGAACTTCTCACCTCACCCCAAACAGCCAACAAGATGGCGTTTCAACACATCCCTCTTAGCAGACGCAAACTTTGACAATTTTTTCAAAAGAGAGTGGGCATCGTTTACAGAGACCAACGACTCCCCGGGAACTTCATCCTCACTCCTGTGGCAAACAGGAAAGGCAGTTCTAACAGGCCGAATTATTTCGTTCTCTGTCCACAAAGCTAGAAAAGAAAAAGAATTAGAAAACAAGTTAGAACATGATATAAACACACTGGAACAAACGAACATGATCAACCCAACAGAGAACCAGGAAAAAGAGATAAAAGTATTGAAACTAAAATTAAATGAAATAATAAATAAACGAACTCAATTTCTTATCCACAGACTCCGACAACAAAATGTTCAACACAACAATAAATCAGGAAAATACTTGGCCAACCAGATCAAATTGAATAAAGAAAAAACATCAATCCCCATCATTAAGAACTCAGCAGGGGAGCATATAACGTCACACAAAGGAATAAATGAAACCTTCGAAAATTACTACAGAAAACTGTATTCCTCTGACTCTGACCCAGATATAAACAATATCCACACATTTCTAAACAATATCAACCTACCCATTCTCTCAGCTAACCAGATATCAGGTTTAAACTCACCAATTACAGAATTTGATCTCTGCACAGCACTTAAAGCTATGCCCAACAATAAATCCCCTGGACCCGACGGCTTCCCTGCTGAGTTCTACAAACATTTTTGGCCCACACTCTCCCCGCTATTCATGCGTATGCTACAGGAATCAGAACAGATCAGTAAGCTGCCAACCCACATGAACTCTGCCACAATCTCCCTCATCCTCAAACCCAACAAAGACCCTACACTGCCCTCCAGTTACAGGCCCATCTCACTTATCAATGTCGATACAAAAATCATATCAAAAACCCTTGCCCTCCGAATAGAAAAAGTAATCCCAACGATCATTCATCCCGACCAAACTGGTTTCATTAAAGGACGACACTCATCAGACAATACTCGTAGGCTGTTCAATTTAATCCACTGGTCAACTCTACAACAGGAAAAAACCATAATTGCATCCTTGGACGCAGAAAAGGCTTTCGACAGGGTCGACTTGGCCTTCCTGTTTGCCACACTGGAGAGATTTGGCTTCGGGGGGTCGTTTGTCAACTGGATAAAAATGCTTTACACCTCACCTACTGCTACTGTCATCACCAACGGTAGAACTTCACGTCCCTTCATTCTTCACCGCGGAAACCGCCAAGGATGCCCACTCTCTCCATCTTTATTTCTAATCTTCTTAGAACCACTTGCAGCAGCAATTCGCCAAAATAACCAAATCAAAGGATTCCAACCACAATCAATCGAACACAAAATCAGCCTGTATGCAGATGATATCCTCCTCTTTTTACAAAACCCACCTTCATCATTACACCACACAATAAACCTCATCGAATCATTTTCCAAACTCTCACAATATTCAATCAACTGGAGTAAATCCTCAATTCTCCCCCTACAGTCAAACAGTTGGGATGTTGCAGCCATCACACCTCCTGTCCTACTCTCTTCAAACCACATCACTTACCTGGGAATTAAGGTTTCCTCCAGGCTTTCAGAGCTGTTTTCTCTCAACTTCTCCCCCTTACTCAAACAATTAGAAGAAGATTTACAACGCTGGATGAATCTCCCCATTTCAATCACAGGCAGAATCTCTCTGGTTAAAATGTCAATACTCCCCAAAATCAACTACATACACTCAATGACCCCTGTTCAACCCACTCAAACCTGGTTTAAATCACTCAACTCTGCCATTAACAAATTCTACTGGAAAAACAAACCACCCCGTATCAAACTCGCAACACTACAGAAACCAAAACTACAGGGAGGCCTCAATGCCCCAAATTTTTACCACTATTCATTAGCTAATCATTTACAGTACATATACAAATGGATCCACTCAAACACTTCTGACTCAATCTGGATGGACACTGAACAATCACTTTGCAATAACATCAATCTCTCAGACCTACCCTTCCTTAATCAATCAATAAAGAAATACCCACTTTTCAAAACACCAACGATATCGGCAGCTCTGACAGCCTGGTGGAAACTCCACGATTTAACAAACACCCCCTTTGCCCCATCCATCCGCTCCCCAATTTGGCACAACCCAGAATTCACAAGCAATAATAAACCTCTGTACTTCCATTCATGGGCAGATAAAGGTATAACTCACCTCAATCACATTCTCACAAATAACAGTTTAAAACCACTGACACAGTTGGCCCAGGAGTATGGCATTGGGAGTAAATGCTTCCTCGAATACTTACAACTAAAATCAGCAATCCAAAAAAAAATCAACATCCAAACAATACATTTCGGCCTACATGATACAATTGCGGATTTCATAAATATTCCCCCCAAAAAACTGAACACCAAAATATACAAAATATCATCACCAAATCAGATAATACACAATCTCTTCCAACTGCAAAGTGGCAACAAGATTTAGCATTTACTCCCAGTGCCAACTTCTGGACCCAAATCTGCAAAAATATGTATTCAATGACCACCAACTCCAACCTCCAACTCATACAATTCAAAATCCTACACAGATATCACTACACCGGTTACAAATGATCAAAAATGGGATCCACTTCAGACATCTGCCCACACTGCACACAGGGTTGTAGGGACAATTACATTCACGCTCTTTGGCACTGCACTCCGGTCCAAGCATTCTGGAAAGCCGTCACTCAATCACTCACCACTTCACTTGGCTGCAACATCCCAATGTCCCCATCCCTCTGTCTTTTAGGAGACATATCCACACTCCCCATCAACCAGGGTAATTCAAAGTATCTTTTAATGTCGCTAGCTAGCGCCAAAAAAACAATACTCATAAACTGGAAATCCAAAACCAACATACACACCTCCACATGGGAAAACTTAATTTCAGATTATATTTCACTTCAAGACATACCCCCCAACCACACCTCAAACAATACACCCCACGCATCCCAGACCCCAGTCATAAGCTAACCTTATATACTTTACCTATTTCCAATATTTATGTCATCGTGTATTTTGCGCACCTCTCTCTCTCTCCCTGCTGCTACACCACTGTACCCCTGTTCTTATATATATAGATATACATACATTCTACAGTGATATGTTGATGAGGAGGGAATAAGAATAAATTAATAAAGGAATTAATAATTAATAATTAATAAAAATATATAAATAAAGAACAAATAACAAAAATAATAAATAAATAACAAAAAATAAGTCCTCTTCCCACATGCATCTCAAGGACACACTTTTAATGCACAACATCCCAAACCTGTTTTTAATGCACCACACAATCAGAGATGCTGCTGGAAGAGCAACACCAATCTCCTACCAACTCGCTCCTATCTCCTAATGGGGCCCTCTTCATCAACATTACGACCACCCCCTCTATAACCACCCCCTCCATAATCCCCCCTCCCTTGGATTATAGCACCTCAACTCGTCCTATGTTTTTTACTATTATTATTATTAGTATTACTATTATTATTGGTCTCTTTTCTTTCTCCCCTCTCTAACTACCGGTCAATAACAGAAAATTTTCAACACCCTCAGATACCTATTCAATACACAAAAGTGAACACGCACATACACACACACACACACACACACCTCGCACACGCTGAATCCCCCCCCCCCTGTCCCCCCTCCTGACCCTATGTAAATGCTTATATGTTTATGTAGGTTTCATGTCTAAATGTACAAATGGGTCTATAATGTCTGCTGTAATATATTGTATACGCCAATAAAAAAAAAAAAAATAAAAAAAAAAGCTTTTCCAGGATTTTGGATATGAAAGTAAGGTTTGAGATCGGTCTGTAGAATCAGAATCATTTTTATTGCCACGTAAGTAACAGGAAGTCACAGACTTGGAAATTTCTTTGGCTCAGTGCAACAGTCAGAAAGAGATGATAAAAAATAAAGAATAAAAAAAACACTTCTAAGGAATACATTTAAAATAGTTAGTTATCCATCCATCCATTTTCTACCCTTTAATCCATTTCTGGGTCAGGGGGGTGGCAGTCAGAGATGCCACCCAAGTCTCATAGCACCAGCCCCTCACTGACCCTCTGCAGGTGGTGAGTCCACAGGAGGACGGCTGCTCTCTGACTGTGAGCATAGCCTTGATCTTTCAGTGGGGGCTTTGGGCAAAGTGGGGTTAAGTGTCTTGCCCAAGGACACAACGACAGTAGTCATCAGTGGGAGTCGGTGGAGAAGGTGTAGAGGTGGGAATTGAACCCACGACCTTCAGGCCTGAAGGCCAATGCTCTACCAACTGAGCTACTGTCGCCCCTTAGTTACAGTTACTATTTACAATATCCAAGTGCACATGGTGCACACAATGTAAGGTGACAGCAGTACAGTGAAGTAAAGTGACGTATGATGGGCAGTAAAGTGACTTTATAAAGGGCGGGGGGACAGGTTAAGAAGTGTTCAAGAGTCCAACAGCAGAGGGGAAGAAACTGTTCTTGTGGCGGGAGGTTCTAGTCCTGATGGACCGCAGCCTCCTGCCTGAGGGGAGTGGTTGGAATAGTCCATGTGCAGGGTGAGAGGGGAGTGGTTGGAATAGTCCATGTGCAGGTGAGAGGGGAGTGGTTGGAATAGTTCATGTGCAGGGTGAGAGGGGTCGGCTGTGATACGACCAGCCCGGCCTCGAGCTCGGGCGACGTACAGGTCCTGCAGCGATGGAAGGCTGCGGCCGATCACTTCCTCTGCAGAGCGCACAATCCACTGTAGTCTCTGTTTGTCCCTGACTGTGGCTCCAGCGAACCACACGGTGATGGAGGAGGTGATGAAGGAGGTGAAGGAGGAGGTGATGGAGGAGGTGATGGAGGAGGTGAAGGAGGAGGTGATGGAGGAGGTGATGGAGGAGGTGATGGAGGAGGTGATGGAGGAGGTGATGGAGGAGGTGATGGAGGAGGCGATGGAGGAGGTGAGGATGGACTCGATGATGGCCGTGTAGAACTGCACCAACATCTGTGCAGGCAGCTTGGCTTTCCTGAGCTGCCGCAGGAAGTACATCCTCTGCTGGGCCTTCTTGATGAGGAGCTGATGGTCGGCTCCCACTTGAGGTCCTGGGTGATGGTGGTGCCCAGGACACGGAAGGACTCCACACAGGTGATGGAGGAGTCGATCACGGAGGGTGGGGGCGGGGGGACAGTGCTCTTCCTGAAGTCCACAGTCATCTCCACTGTCTTCTGGGCATTCAGCTCCAGGTTGTTACCACTGCACCAGGACACCAGCCGGTCCACCTCCCTCCTGTAGGCGGACTCATCGTTGTTGGAGATGAGTCCAATGAGGGTGGTGTCGTCCGCGAACTTGATCAGCTTCACGGAGTTGTGGCTGGAGGTGCAGTGGTTGGTGTACAGGGAGAAGAGCAGGGGAGAAAGAACACAGCACTGTGGGACTCCTGTATTTATAATCCGAGAGTCCGAGACATTCAGCACTCGCTGCTTCCTGTCTGTCAGGAAGTCAGTGATCCACCTGCATGTGGAGTTTGAGTTTATTTAAGTGTCATGCACAAAAGTGCCCAGCCCACATGGGCTTATATGACACTGAACAACAAGTTCTGATGGCTAGAGACCATATACAGACTTGAAAAACGGATAACAATTTACAATTTGGTGCATTATACAGGGTACAGAATCTGTTGGGTTAAATGCAGGTGGAATCGGGCACGTTGAGCTGGGAGAGCTTGTCCTGGAGCAGGGATGGCAGGATCGTGTTGAAGGCAGAGCTGTCCACGAACAGGACCCTGGCGTAGGTCCCCGGGGAGTCCAGGTGCTGTAGGATGTGGTGGAGGGCCAGGTTAATGGCGTCGTCTACAGATCTGTTGGCTCTGTAGGCGAACTGCAGGGGGTCCAGGAGGGGGGAGGTGAGGGACTTGAGATGGGAGAGAACCAGGCGTTCAAATGACTTCATGACGACAGACGTAAGTGCTACAGGTCTGTAGTCATCGAGTCCTGTGATCCTGGGCTTCTTCGGGACGGGGACAATGATGGAGGATTTGAAGCAGGCCGGGACATGGCAGGACTGCAGAGAGGAGTTGAAAATGTCCGTGAACACAGGAGTAAGCTCACTGGCGCAGTGTCTCAGAGTGGCCGGAGACACGTATTCCGGGCCAGGAGCTTTGCGGGGGTGCAGCCTCAAGAAGAGTTCTTTGATATCTTTAGAGGCTATTGTCAGGGTGGGGGCAGGGCTGATGGGTGGGTCGTTAAAGTAGTGGGGGGTGGGGGAGGTGTCAGGGGCAGCATCAAAGCGACTGAAAAATAAGTTCAGTTCGTCAGCTAGCTTGTGGTCGTCAGCACAGGGGGGGGCTTTGGGCTTGTAGTTGGTGATCTCCCGTAGGCCCCTCCAGACAGAAGCAGTAACGTTGTTACCAAACTGCTCCTGTAGTCGTTCTCTGTGCCGGGACTTGGCTGCTTTCAGTTCTCTCCTGAACTGATATTTACAGTGCCTTGCGAAAGTTTTCGGCTCCCTTGAACCTTTCAACATTTTGCCATATTTGAGGCTTCAAACATAAAGATATAAAATGTTAATTTTTTGTCATGAATCAACAACAAGTGGGACACAATCGTGAAGTGGAACGGAATTTGTTGGATAATTTAAACTTTTTTAACAAAAAAAAAACGGAAAAGTGGGGCGTGCAATATTAGCTGTAGTTATCTGCAGTTCATCCAGAGTGATCATGGGCCTCTTGGCTGCATCTCTGATCAGTCTTCTCCTTGTTTGAGATGAAAGTTTGGAGGGACGGCCGGGTCTTGGTAGATTTGCAGTGGTCTGATACTCCTTCCATTTCAATATAATTGCTTGCACAGTGCTCCTTGAGATGTGTAAAGCTTGGGAAATCTTTTTGTATCCAAATCCGGCTTTAAACTTCTCCACAGCAGTATCTCGGACCTGCCTGGTGTGTTTCTTTGTCTTCATGGTTCTCTCTGTGCTTTAAACAGAACCCTGAGACTATCAAAGAGCAGGTGCATTTATACGGAGACTTGATTACACACAGGTGCATTCTATTTATCATCATCAGTCATTTAGGACAACATTGGATCATTCAAAGATCCTCACTGAACTTCTGGACTGAGTTTGCTGCACTGAAAGTAAAGGGGCCGAATAACATTGTGTAACCCATTAAATATAATATAAATATTATCACATATCAAATATAATGTATTTTTATCATTTATTATTATTATTAAAACTAAATGGTCCCAAATTTCCATTGGGTCTGGCGCCGGCTCCAGGGAGTTTGGGATCACGTGGGTCATGTGACTTGGGGTTTTAAAGATGGCGGGTCGCTTGTACAGGGAGGCATGGGGGAGGCTGCGTTTAGGGCTGCAGCAGGCCGGGTCTTTTTCTGTGCTGTGATATCGAGTCGAATCGAATCACTTTTGATGGCAAGCTGAGCCCAGACAAGAACTACTGCTGCAAGTACCCCACCAATGCGGTAGGAGATCGGCCCTTTACCCCCATGCACTCTGGTTCATATGAACTCTTGAGCAATACGAGCTCAATGGACACACTTTTACAGTAGCCCTGGCTATTGTTTGGACTTTGGGAAGTTGAGTTGTTTTTGGGGTTTTTTTCTTCGGACTTGTGAGCGAATGAAATGAAGAATTCTAATCTGCGCAGCGTTGTATTTGAGAATTTGAGATGTCATGACTGTAAATATGTAAATATGTAACAATACACAAACTTGCTAACTAGAGCCACTGTTTATTGATTACTGACTCACCTCCCAGAGCGAACTCTAGATCTTCAGTCCTAGCCTACAGACTCTTTTGTTACTACCATTCCACTGTATATATATGGGATAGGGGTTACATAATTTGTGGCAAGCTAGCCAGGAGGTGTTACAGTAATCAATAAATATTACTTTTATTGTTTCATTTCACTGGTTGAAAAATATTATTACAGTAATCTGTTATGGAGGAGTTTGAAGGCCTGCAGGTAGACATTACACGGGCAGTGTTGGTGGACAGTGTCACCAACACTGAAGCTGATGAGGAGTTATTTGAGTTCCTTAAAAAGTATGGGTCGATTGCTCAAACGTCAAAAATAGAAGATATTAATTCAGATTATTATCAACATTTTGTCGTTCAATTTCGGGCAAAAACTGCGGTTGCAGCTCTCTACCCAAAATTACCGTACACGTTTACTGCAGTTACTAAAGATATTCAATACAAGATATCTGCACTCTCTGACATTTATGCTAGTGACGTAGGAGCTACAAAGACTCAGACTTACTTGTCCGACTTAAAGCAATTGGCTAAAGCAACTGGAAAGACATGATGGTCCAAATCGGAGGCACAGTTGCAGGGCTAAAGCCAACCACTCAAAGTTTGAAAGAGTCCCCTGAGTCCGAATTGATGTCTGATCGTGCCCCTCATGATTACAGCGCTGCAGATAACACAGAGTTCCCTTGTCCAACCACAAAGTCATCAGTAAGACCTTCTCTCTCCAGCCTCTCGGCTGCTGACATAAATCCTCCTGATGTTCAAAGATATGTTGTCGAACATATTGTCAAGAGTGATGATCATTTAGCTCATTCAATGTCGTCGCAAAAGTTACGAGTGTTCTCGGGTAAAGTACCCAGATCCCCCCATGAGGCCGACTACGACACATGGCGTTCTAGTGTTGATTTAATCTTGAAAGACCCTGCCATATCAGATTTGCAACGTTCCCGAAAAATCTTAGAAAGCCTCTTGCCCCCTGCCGCAGATATGATTAAGCATTTGAGGACAGATACCCTGCCCACTGTCTACTTACAGCAGCTGGACAGTGGCTTTGGAACAGTACAGGATGGAGACGAGTTATTCGCAAAGTTTATGGATACTTTCCAAGATTCAGGGGAGCTGCCTTCGCTATATCTGCAGAGATTACAGGTCTCATTGAATCTGGCAGTCAAGAGGGGGGGTGCTTTAGAGACAGAAGCCAATAAGCACCTATTAAATCAATTCTGTAGAGGGTGTTGGGACAATTTGCTTATTTCTGAGTTACAATTGACCCAAAAGAAATCCCAGCCGCCGTCGTTTGCAGAGTTGCTTCTGCTCTTACGAACTGAAGAAGATCGGAAATCGGCAAAAGTGGCACGAATGAAACAACATCTAGGGGGAGCTAAACAAAAAGCTGCAGTGAATTATCAAGCGATCAGTTCTGATAACAGCGTGGATCCAGTTGCAGCACTGACCACACTCACACAGCAATTAGCCAAGCAAGTGGCTGATATGCAGAAGCAACTATCCGCTATTACTGGTCAAGCATCAAATAGTCCGTCATTCCGGTATCAATCTGGGTACACTAATCAGAAATTGAATAAAAGTACATTTACAAAACAATCAACCAACGGAGCTTCATCTACACCTAAGCCAGGGTATTGCTTTCGATGTGGCGAGGATGGCCACACTCGGCCACAGTGTGGAAATCCGCCCAATCCAGGCCGTGTGTCCAGTCAGCGGAAGAGGTTAACAATACACAAACTTGCTAACTAGAGCCACTGTTTATTGATTACTGACTCACCTCCCAGAGCAAACTCTAGATCTTCAGTCCTAGCCTACAGACTCTTTTGTTACTACCATTCCACTGTATATATATGGGATAGGGGTTACAATTGCACGCCCCACTGTTCAGGTTTTTTGTTTTTTTTTAACGTTTAAATTATCCAATAAATTTCGTTCCACTTCACGATTGTGTTCCACTTGTTGTTGATTCATGACAAAAAATTAAAATGTTATATCTTTATGTTTGAAGACTGAAATGTGGCAAAATGTTGAAAGGTTCAAGGGGGCCGAATACTTTTGCAAGGCACTGTAGCTGCTTTGTAGCCGCTGCGGTCCCCCTCCCTGAAAGCAGACTCCTTTGCTTTCCTGAGCTGCCGGAGTTTAGCAGTGAACCAGGGTTTGTCGTTGTTATAAATGACCCTGGTCATTGTTGGAATGATGCTATCCTCGCAGAAGTGAATGT